ATGATACTCTTTTAAATGCATATAAAAGATCAAAAATTTAAACTTCAATATTCTCATGTAGGCTCTCTTAAATATTCAATTACTTTAGTTCTAATTTAATATTATCATGTTTACGTTGACTTCTTAATCTTTCAGTATCATCAAATACTTGTATAAATTCATCTTTTTTACGCTAAAAAAAAAATGAAAAGATATTTAAATTGAGAATAAATTTTGTTTTATAGTTTACATCATTAACATAACGACGAACAATTTCATCAACAAGTTTATTATACCATTTAACTTGAAGATTAGTCATTTTTGTATATACAGTTACTTCTTTTTTCGGTGGTAAATATAAATTAACATCACCTTTTCGACGTCGTAAAATAAATGGAATAAGAATCTATAAGAAAATAAATTTTGTTATACACAAAAAAATAAAAATAACCAAACAATAATTTATTTCACTTGATGAAATATTGATAAAACAGATCGTTCTTGTTCTTCTTTAAAATTCATATTTGAATTACTTATTGTATCAATTTCAAAATAACGTTCAAATACTTCCTTGAATAAAGAAAAAAGAATATTTATTTCAAAAAAAAAAAAAAAAAACATTTGATATATTTACAGGTTCATCAAATATTTCCGGTAAAAGAAAATTCATTAATGACCACATTTCACTCATATTATTTTGAACAGGTGTACCAGTTAATAAAAATCTACTACCCGTATGTAATCGACGAAGCATAGCCATTAATTGACATTTAGGATTTTTTAATCGATGACCTTCATCAATAACTAATAATGGCCATTGTTCTCGTTTAAAAAATGCTCTGCACAGAAAAAAATAAATCAAAACAATAATTATTTCTATTTCTTTCATTACTTGTCACTTATAATAATATGATAAGCTGTAATTAATACAAGTGGCATTGATTTTTTAGCTTGACGATATTGATTTATTTGACCACGAAGTTCAGCTAATTTTTCTTTATTACCATGGTAGACCATACATGTTATCTGAAAATATTATATTCAATTGCATGTGTTCGTAGAGAAAAACTAGATATTTTACAAGGAAAGATTTCTAAGTGTGACCCACGAATTGAACTAATATTTTTGTGTATAATTAGGTCACCAAGAGACTAGTAGAAGTCTATAAAAGTTCGTTTCTATGTAATTATTACAATTTTATAAAACTTTTTTTTTGTTTTTATCCTCGACAAGGTATTTGTGAAGAAATCGTTTTGTTGCTCTCGCGAACTTCACAAGAAAAGTTCAGTGTTTTCACCATTCAATATTTCAAGAATAACATATCATCTTGAACGAAGATTTTCGGGGCACTCTGAGGTTTACGAGACCTACTTACAGGCGAAATTTCAGATTGAAATTTCGTACTTCGATTTCTTCACAAATATCTTGTCCAAGATAAAAAAATTCGATAAAAATTGTAATAACTACATGGAAACGAACTTCAATAAGCTTGCATTAGTCTTATTGGAATCTACTTATGAATAAAATATCAGTTCGATTCATGAGTTTCCTTTGTAAGAATAGCTTTAAATTGTAACTGTCTAATCGAATTTTGATCGGTTATATAAAATAACATCAAAATAAGAAAATTGCATTTTCATCTCTCAAAATATATTGACTTTTTCAAAGAATTTACTTTCGATTGATTGCCCATGGAAATCTTCGATTGAAAAATTTCTTACTCATGTTACATAAACTCACTTAAGTGTATCTACATAGCAAAAATAGGATTATGAATAATATCGAGAATAAAAATAATTAGTGTTCGATTCAAGAGTATGACAAAATATCAATTCTATAGAAATAAGTATTGATTCAATCGAATTGTATTCTAACTAGAGGTGTAAGCCGAGCGGATATCGATTGCCACAAAAAATTTTTAAAAATCTCAGCCGCCGCCATCGATCAACTTATCGGTTTACATCTCTAATCCTAACTATTAACATGTATATTAATCTTATATTTACATCAGGTGCAAATCGAGCAAATTCCGTACACCAATTAGTTAGTGTCGAAAGTGGTGCAACAACAAGAAATGGACCAGGTGCTCCATCTTGAACTAAACTGCAAATAAATGCAATCACTTGAACAGTTTTACCTAAAATTAAAGAGAAAAAAAACAGATAAACAAAAATAAAAAAGAGAAATTTAAAACGTACCAAGACCCATTTCATCGGCAAGAATTCCATTGAGACCAACTTCATGTAATGTTCGTAACCATTCAAGACCAGCTAATTGATCTATTAACAGATGAATATAAATTCTAAATTGTACAGAAACAAAAGAAAAGACTTACAAGGTTTCAATGAACCAACAAATGATTTCGGTTGTCGAGCTTGAATATCTTTGTCAGTCATATCATAATATTTTTCTAATAATCCTGTTCGTTTCATATCTTCATCAGGTGATTTTGTTTGTCTCTGATCATCAAGATGTTTTTTTATTTTTTTATATTCTCCATGTTCAGCAATTGATTGTTTTATTTTATTATTAAGATGATGAACATATTTTTGACATCGTTCAAGAAGTATAAGTAATTTTGAATAAACATTATCATAAAGTGCACGACGTTCATCATCACTCATTTTCTAAATAAATTAAAAATTTTCGAAATAAAAAATATTTATTTATTATTTTTAAGAATAATTACTTTATTTGATTCTGTTCTAACTGAACCCATAAGATCTTTAATAACAATATTATCAGCGTTTTTTTCTTCATTTTCAATTTGTTTATCTAGTTGATTTTCATTTTCTTCTTCATCACGATCACTAGTTGATAAACGAATTGAATCTTTTATTTCATTTCCATTTAATTCCATATGTTTTGATCGTTTTTTAACTGGTTCATCAGTCATTTGTGAACTAGATGGTTTATTATCTTTGAATATATAAAAAAAAAGAAAAATACGAGTTTTTTTTTATGAGATTGATTTTCACTGGAATAAAGAATTTACCGCTGTTTCGTACTTGTAAACCAGATTTTGAATGATTTGAATCAATATTATCATGATGATCATCACTATCAGATAATTGTCGTTTTCCAACCATGATGTAGATAAAAAAGATTATGTAATAATAAACGAAGAATTGAATTGAACTCGCTGACCTGGATTTTCTTAACGATTCTAGCGACACCGATTGTTTTCTAAAAAAAGATTTATTATTTATTTTCTTTTTAGAAATAAATGAAAAAGATTTATAATTTTTTATTATTTGATTTTAACAAATTTCTATATATTGCTAAGTTACCAAATCTATGGTTGTCAAGGAAACCATGCAAAAGATCTCGAAAAAAAAAACTATTAATTATCATATAGAATCTTTTGTTTAGAGAAGCAATGAAGCGTTTACAAACGAATAGTAATGCATATGATGATTCTATTTCGGAAAAAAAAATTAAGGCAAGCACTTTGTTTATTTGAATAAATTTTATTAGTACTATACGGAATTAGTTCATAGAAGTCATGAAAATAACTAACAATCTATTCAAAGACAATAAACATTAGATATGTGTATAAATACGAATATTTAGTAAGCTGCTCTATTACTCGTTTCGAAAAAGAATGGACTTGGTTGTTTGTTGAATAGCTCGGTAGCACTAATAGCTATCGAGCTCGAGCTTTCACCGTGAGAAAGAGCATGAGCGTAGGTATAAGTCTACTTGCGAATCAAAATACTTGAAAAGTTTTCCGAGAGATTCCAATGGTTTTTTGGAAAATCACTGTATGATTCGCTTGATTAGCTGTATTTTCAATTTAGTCATATTATAGCCCAATGTCTACTTTATAGACCCCGAAATTTTTAGGCGTTTTCGATCTTTCCTTAAAAAATTGTGACCATTTTTTACTGAATTTTCGATCTGAAAAATTTGCCAATAGATAGCTCTAGAAAACCTTTTAAGTACTTGATTCACAGGTAGACTTGTACCCCTACTTTCATGCTCTTTCTAACGGCGAAAATCCGAGCTCGATAACTATCAGCGTTGCCGAGTTATTCAACAAATAACTGGGTCCATTCTTATTTGAAATAGATAATGGTTATGCAAGAAGTGTTACACGAGAGCAAGTAGTAGTTATTTAGAAATCTACCATAATTTCTATGACTTTCGCTGTTTCAAAATAGATATTGTTTTAGATTTTTCGTTATATTCTGATCAATCGAAAAGTTGAATGTCAACATTCAGTTAGCGTTTTCCGATGAAGTCCTCCACTCATTCATTCCATGGGATACATCGTTTGTGAAAACGAATCACGCTTTTATGGAACATGCAACTAGAGAGCTGCGGGTCCACGTTTTCGTGGACCTGAACAAAATTTAAAATTTGAACCCGACCGAATCAAGAAGGATCCACAGCTTCCTACATGCGGCCAATTGTCGCTTACACTTATATGAGCAATTTAGAAGGCACACTATTATCATACTTGTATCTTTATATAGGAACACCGACAAGATCCAAAACATTCACAAATAGCTACTATTGTTGAGGTCTGTCTCTATGCAAAATTTCAAGTCGAAATTCGAAAATCAACTGTTTTGTTACCACGGTATTCATTTAAAGAATATCGTAAAGGTTCAGTATTTTCACAGCAACAAGCCAAGGATACAAGCTCTTTTCAGGATATTCATAGTCTATTTGCGTCTACATAATGTATACAGCCTCAATTCAAAAATGATTTATCAGTTGAAAGACTTTCGTCGCTAGAAAAAAACGACGAATCTTTCTTGAAGTGAATGGTGTTACTTCTATGAACACAAACGTTGAACATTTCTCTGTCATTGAAAGAAGAAATTTGTCTTTTTAACTTAAATATTTTTTTATCGTTCTAATCCATTGTATATTTTAGCTTTTAGCAAACATCAAACCGTCGGTCATCTTGATAAAAAATGATCTTGTACGTAATATTTAAACACAAGAAATTATCTTAATAATGACTTTTATATTGAAATCTATAGGATACATTTCGTGAACAACTACCAATAATGCTTCCAGATTCAACAGAAAGCTATGAAACAAAACCATTATTATATTCAGATGAACAAAATGAAATACTAACGATATTTGTTAATAAATAAATGTTGTTTTTTTATTATCAATAAAAATTTTATCCATCTTTAGGATAATGTATTACCGATTGAATATCATTCATGGGAAAATTCAATTATCTATCATTCTAATACTATTAATACATTAAAAACAGATGAAACAGGTTGGATACCAACACGTGAATGTCGAACATTAGCTACTTATCAAAAAGAAATATTAGGTGAATAAATATTATAAATTGAATGAATAAGAGATTTATTTCTTTTATCTTCAAAGGACGTAATGTTGACTTTATTGAAAATATTCGATTTGGTATAAAATATTTTATTTTAAATTTAATTAATAATGTTTCATTTCTATAAGACGATCATGATCGTGCTATGAATTGGTATTCAATTTTTCCTTTTACTGATACTGTAATATTAAAAAATATGATGGATAATAAAAATTTTCAATTCGATTTAAATGTATATGTGAACATTCATAATTTTTTTCAATAAACTATTTTAATTGTTTAGTATAAATCAAAATATATCAATCCTCAACAAGATCCAACAGTAATGGAATTACCAATTGAACCACCTGTAATTCCTATTCGAAAAGAAAAAACAACAACACATTCGAATATTAATTCTCTAAAGAATAATAAAGTTGATTTTTTTTTTTGAAATTTCTCTCTGATAATTTTGAGAAGATTTGTGATTGTACATAGGAGAATCGTTTACGTCGAACACGAAATGTTCTTGCTCGTGCAGGTCTAATCGGTATTTTACCTGATACTCATGATGATTATCATCACCATCATCATCATCATCATCATTATCGTGATAAAAATAAAGAAGATATTAAAGTTAAATCTGTTAGTTTTTGGAATTTAAGTAATGATTTTTATTATGATTTCAATGTTGAACAAGAATTTCTATCGAAACGACGAATAAATTCTTCGCAAGTATGTTAAAACTATTTTTTTTCTAATAAAAATTCTTTTTTTTTCTTGTTAAATAGAATCTTGATTTTATATTCTATCCAATATTTCGTACGATCAATGAATTACGTTATTTTCATCGTCCATTATTTGATTTACCAAATTATCATCAATCTTGGATATGTATTCAATTATCAAATATAAAAACTTTTAATAAATCTATTCGGACAAAATCCGATTTAACTGGTGCATATGGTGAAATACTTTTATTTGAATATAGTGAACAATATCCAGCATTATTAAATGAAATAGGAATGTTTAGTAAAATTCGAACTTATCTGCGACCGGTAAAATAAACTCTCCTGGAATAGAAGGCCATGGTGGATTTTTCAAAAAACCTTTGTTCAGAGTCCAATATTCTTTTGTAATTAAAATTTCTTTTTTTCCTAGTAAAAAAATCTTTTACATAGTAAAAATCCTGGTTTCCAACACTTACGAGAGAACCTTTCTAAGTGTTAAATCGTTTTTGAGACGAAATAATGTGCATCATGTAGGTTCTAATGAGCTATGAATGTTCGGAAAAGAGTTCAGGCTAATGCCTCTTCACTGCCGAGATACCATATTATTTAGCAGGATGCCGTGATCCTATTCAAAAACGTCAGGACAACTGAATTTCGAATTTCGACTTAAAATTTTGCATAGAGACATGCCTCAATGAGAATAGTGTATTGTAAAAATTTCAGATCTTTTGATTACTTCTACCTTAAAATACAACTATGATAAAAGCATGTTTTCAAGGCACTCATATACAACGGTTAATTCTGATGTTCTTATTCCAGAATAGTCACAACCAACAAATCTGAAACTTTCACAATAGACTATTTTCGTTAAGGTCAATCTCTATGAAAAATTTTAAATCAAAATTCGAAAATCAGTTTGGAAGGCCAGAATTTCGACCCGGAACGAAATTCATCTCACCGCTTTTCATAAAAAATAGCCTAACTTTAATGAGTAGTTAGCACATTCTGTAGTGTTGAGCAGGACGCCATAGCACGTAGCGGTGTAATTTTAGATCACATTATAGTTACAGCATCTTGTTCAGCATATGGCGTGTAGAGTGTAGGTCTCTTCACAACTCCTATCAACCTCTACATCCGCACCCATCTGCACAACGTTATTCTACTCAACACTACGAAGTGTACTAACTAGTTATAGAAATATAGCTTCTTTTAAGGGATTGATGAAGTAAACTTGGGCCCGAGCCGAAATTCATGTAATCCATCAATTTTCTTGGTATTGCTGAGGAGGACCACGATATTCTGCTAAAAAATACAGTAATTCGGCAGCAATAAGCTATTAGCTCGAACTCTTTTCATGGTATTCACAGCTCATTAGAATCTGCATGATGCGCATAGCCTTGAATCAAAAGCGATTTATTCTATGGAAGACTTTCCTCGTTAGTTTGATACCGGAAAAATTTTTCAAAAATTCTTAGCTTTCTAAGTAAATGTGAACAGAAAAAAACTAGTCGGTAATAGAAGATCACCTTTGAAAGAATAATATGAATTTCTATAATAGTAGGTCATGGCCTTTTATTCGGAGGGGAGGGAGGAATTTAATTCAACTTATCAGATTTTTTTATTTGATTAATTTTCTTAGCAATATTTTAAAGCTCATACAACTTCATATGAAGTTGATTATGGTGAATTAATATATACACATGCATCACCATTTCTTTGGTCAATTCCACGAGGTTTAAATATACAAACAATAGAAAATAATATGTTTATAGCATCAATCTATCGACAAAAAAATTTAATCAATGATTTTTTAATAATATTTAATCGAAAAAATGGTTTTTTTATTCGAAATATCAATATAATTTATATTATTGGACAACAATGTCCATTAATTGAAGTTCCTATACCACAATCAAAACGTGTAAATTTATTTCAACGTGATTTATTACAAATTTATATTTATCGATTATTTTTACAAAATAATGAAATGCCACGTCGAATACGTATTGATGATATAAAACGAGTTTTTCCACGTTTAGCTGAATCATCTATTCGTAAACGATTAAAAACAAGCGCAGATTTTCGAAGAACTGGTAAAAACAAAACAAAAACAAATTTTTTATCTTTGAATTTTTTTCACATTATTTTCTTTTTCTGATGATTGTAATTCATGGATATTGAGAGATGATTTTCGATTACCAACAGAAGATGAAATACATGATTTAATTAAACCTGAATTTTGTTGTGCATATGCATCTATGACTGCAGCTGAACAGCGTTTGAAAGGTAATTTTTTAAAAAATGATGATACCTATGGAAAAATAAATGCTATCAAGTAAACAAATTGAATTATATAATCTTAATCTCGTAGATTCAAACTATTTGAAAATTAAAAAACATTTCTACTTAAATTATCGATTATCGTCAGCTGCTGGAGAAGCTTCTAAAAACTGATTCAATGGTAGATCTTACTTACGAGGGAACTCTCTCTCAACTGATTTATCGCTTTTGAACCGGAAGCATGTACATTATGTAAACCCTAATGGGCTATGAATACCCTGAGAAGAGTTCGGAACCATAACTTATTGCTGTGGAGATACTAAATTTTTACAGTATTTATTAACTCCATTCCATGACCCCTCAGGACAAATGATTTTCAAATTCCGACTTGAAACTTTGCAGAGAGATAGATCTTAATGAGAATAGTTTTTTGTGAAAGTTTCAGATCTTTTGATTTGGTTCTATCCTGACATAAGAATATCGAATTCGTCAGTGGATAGTGGCGGACTAAAATTTAGAGCAGTTATATTTTTAAGTTTTCTTCTCGATGGTAATAGCTAATCAGAGTCTGTAAAAATATTTGTCTAGCTCACAGAATTCTCTATGCTCGAAGATTTTAGAAAAACTAAGACCCTCAAAACCAGCTTTCTGGCTTGCATTCGAAGTTTTTGGTAAAAGATTTCATTTCATAGAACAAAATGAAACATCTCCCACCTCTTCATAATCTCCTTTCGTCGAACTGCATTCAAATTATGGAAGACTCCAAAGCATCAAACATGACAAAAATATGGAAGTTTTCAACAAAAAAGAAGAGAAACATGCTTCTTGGGTCTTATGTAAATTGAATGCATTTCGATGAAGAAAAGTCATGAAAAGTTCAGAAACGTCTCATCTGACTCTATCAAATAAAATTCTTTTTTTTTTCAAAAGCTTCGAATGGAAGCCTGAAAGCTGGTTTTGGGAGTCGTGGGTTTCTGCAGACCTTCACAGTTTTGCTGAAATCTTAGAGCATAGAGAATCCTTTCAACTACACGAATGTTTTTACAGACTCTGACTAGCTATTACCATCAACAAGAAAACTTAAAAATACAAGTGTTATTAACGGATGCCCGTCAGTATACACTGACGAATTCGATATCCTTATGTCAGAATAGAAGCAAAGTTTCAAGTCGAAATTTGAAAATTCATTTTCCTTGTATTCCTAAGGGAAATCACAGCATTGACTTAAAGAATAGTGTAAAAATGTTACAACTCACCAGCAATATGCTAAGGCTCGAACTGTTTTCAAGGTATTCATAGCACGTTCGGATCTACAGGATGTACATAGTCACAACTCCAAAACGATTAATTAGTTGAAAAATCTCCGTCGTTAGATTTAAATGGCTCAATATTCTCTACTCTTTTAATGACCAGATAAATTTTATAAGAATACATTGAAAAGTATTAGAGTTCGTTTTGCGCTGCGAAATGAGTCTTTAAGATATCTACCATTCCCTTCATTGAGTCTCACATTTTTATTACTGTTTATAGTTTTAAGACAAACAAAATATATCATCTATAGATAATCAATTCGTATATCAATGTTTATTTTTCATCTTTTGCTTTGATTACATTTATTGAGTGCATATATACTAGATGCTGGTTTTTGTGATAAATACAATATTGATTTTGATGATGATGAACAATCTAATTATTCGTCTGAACTTAACGATGAAATTTTACAAGCACCTTGGAATACAACACGTGCATATCTTGGTGCATTAAAAGGCAAATGTTTAATGCAAGTGTTTGGTATTGGAAGTAAACAAAATCATAATCCTCTAAATAATCTTTAACTATTCTCATATGAAATACTTTTCTTTTTATTTTAGCTAAGACTATTCATAAAACTAAAGTAAGAAATAAATATATAAATAATATAACATATAAATTGTAGACTAATAATGATTTAAAACACTTTCGTCGAGCTGTAACAGGTACTGATGCAGATCTTCGTCGTTTACAATTAAAAGATGCAAGAAAATTATTACTTAAATTTAATATATCGGAAAAAGTTATTCAATCATTAAGTCGATGGGAAATTGTTGATTTAGTAAGACAATAACAACATAAAAAAGATCAGAAAATAAAAGAAATTTTTCAAATAAATTTAAATAGGTTCGAACATTATCTACACAACAAGCAAAAGAAGGCATTGGTGGTGGTAGATATATAGATATGATATTTGAATTTTTCTATTCTAATATTATTCTTTAAAAAAACACAAAAAAAAAAGGAATGGCAAAATTTGCTCGTGGTATAAAACATTTACAAGCTCAACAATTTGAAAAATATAAAGAAAATTGTCAAAAACAATTTGAACTTCAAAATCGGTAAATTTAACTTTTTGTTTTTAATAAGAAAAAAAAATTTGTTTTTACTAGTCTTTTCACATGTACAGATGAACAACTAACTGATGATGATACATCAGAAGACGATGAGGAAAATGCTCAATTACTTGATGAAATGAGTCGAACATTAGAAAATCTCTTACGACAAAATAATGAAATAAATACATCAACATCAATTTCAAACGAAGTTCAAAAATTTACTCGTTTTTTTTTGCGTTATTCGTTATCTCTTTTTAGCGTCCAAAAATGTTACATATTATTCGAACTTATATTGACGATCAAGGTCAATCTTATCAACAAGAAGAATTTATTCGAAATAATGATTCAGTTATTCAAGCATATATTAAAATTCGTCAGACTAAAAGTGATAAATTTATGTAAGAATACTTTTAAAATATCATTTTTTTTTTTGTAGCATGAATCTAAAATAGTATTCTGCAACCCGGCACTCGACCTGAACCATAGGTCCGCACACAAACTTGCCAGATTTGTTCGGATCTGAATATGCGATCCTATCCAGGCCCAATCCAACAATTAATGAGATCCTGACATAACAAAGTAACTCGATATCAGACCTCGAAATCGAACCACTTTTTTATGGCCTGGCCCAGCCCATAGTGGTGCAAACATTGTTTAGATTCGCTCGAACCCAAAAGAAACTTCGTTTACAAAGATTTTTTTTCTCAATAGACAGCTATTTCATATTTTTCGGTTTTTATAACAAGTGACAACCAAGAGGGGGTTAGCATGAAAAAGCTTCTCCTTAGGGGTGAGCCAAATCTTAGAAGAAGTTATGTCAGAAAAGGATAAAATCGTCGGGTCAGGGGGCTCGACAAAAAAGGTAGCCCACCCGGCCTGACAAAATATTTCGTTATGTCGGGCGGCCCATTTCAAGGCCTGCTCGGTACATAGAGAAGAAAATAAGTTATGAAAACAAGGTGAACATGTATCATCGTGATGAAAAAAGCATTTATATATGTATCCACAGTTATGAGGTTTAGCACCAACACTGTGTTTCATTCCAGCGCCATCAGCAACAAGCAAATGTATACTTAGCAAAATTGATAGGATTTTATCAGCAGAAAGACACCAAGTGAATTCGGAATCACTTGCTTATTTGAGATGATCTCAGTTTTTTTTATTGCTGCTTCCGGAAGTAACTAAATAGTATACTTTTTCATATAAAATAAAACTTAAAAAACCGTACTATGTCTGTAAAAGTACCTGTCAGATGTTGATTAGCTTCGATCTGGTCGCGAAAAGTCGTACCCATGCAGGACACTAATGTTAACTTCTCAATAATCTTATCTTTGGTTATATGAGAAAAGTCTTCAAAGTTTTATGCAAAAATATTTGCATTTAATGTCTCTTCCTCTTTTTTTTCAATTATATTCTAGTAAAGCTTATTATACATTGGATGAAAGTGAACGTGAAATATTAAAACGAGAACGTCGTCGTCTTCAAGAACAACTTCGTCGAGTAAAACGAAATGAAGCACGTTATAATCAACATGAAAAACAACAAATGTTATTACAGATACAACAACAAAATCTAGCATTAATTCAATCAACTGAAACACGTCAGTTACAATCATTATCGTCATCTCCGATCGTTTTAAAACGTTCAAATAGTATTCTTTCTAATTTACAATTAAGTTTGAGTGAAGAAGAAGAAGAAGATGATGATGATGATGATCATTCTTCTTCATCAATATCTTGAACATTAAGTTCATCGAATATAAACTTTTTTAAAAGACAATTGCGTCGTTTTCCTTTCTCTCTCTCTCTCTTTTTTTTTGGTAATGTTGAGTACTTCAGCATCCTTTTTTTTGTCTCCATTTAACAATATGTATGTGCGATAATGTATTCGTCCACTTGATCAAGTGTTTTTCAACTTTGTACAAAGACAAAGAGAAAAAGAACAAGTCGGCAAACAAAAGTCGTTTTCATTCATTTCAATATATGTTGTTGACTAATCATCATTACACCCAGCAGCAGTTGTAGAAACATAGAATATATATATTTTTATTTGTACAAATCGTGTTTGTGCCGTTAGTCAAACCACTTCATACTTATTCACACATTACTGCTGCTTGGTTACGACATAAAAAAAAAGAAGAGATCATTTAAATATATTTAGTTTTTCTTCGTCTTTTGAAAGGTTACATTTTTATCGATCTATATATCTATATATATATATATATGTATTCATATAAAAAACCTTCATTGATATGAGAAAAGTGAAAACTAACGAAATAAATTGAAAAAAAGAACATGTACGAAATCGACACGCGTATATATACATGGTCACATTATTATTGTGCTTGACTAGTTCATTAAAAAATTATAACAAGCATTTCAATACAGAGAAAGAAGAGAGTGCCTCGAAACATATTTTACTTTTATTGTTATTCGCCACATTGTATCAATACAAATGATTATGACCGAATTCCTACAGGCAAAAAAGGAATATACACTAATATAAAATAACTTGAATTGATATTATAGAATGTTCGATTTATTTTTACAAAAAAAAAACTAAAAACTTTATCGTAAGACAATCCATGTTTTGAAATGAAAAGAGGATGTCATATGATTTCTTTTTGTATTAAAAATACTTTTCCTCCTTCAATACTATGATCGTGTTTATCTATGATTAAATATCTTTCATTTAATTTACACATACCAACAACGTATCATCCCCGATCAATCAATAACCTTTTTTTTTTTGCTTTTTCTACTCGTCTTTTCATATATTCGACCAATATAAATTTTCTCTTTACACTCATTGGCTTGCAAATGCGTGTATATGCACATTAACGGAACGCGAATGAGAGAGAGAAAGAGAGAGAGAGAGAGAGAGAAAATCGTTTATGATTAATAAAAACAATCTTTTTTCTATTTAACACTACTGTCACCTAACCATACGTATTGAAATACATTTTCTCACTTATAGGTAGGCATCATTGGTTTTTTTCTTTTTTTTTTTCTATTAAATATTTGCAAAACAATTATCATACAAGAAAATCGACAAACAACCAAGACATCATCATTATTGATTGGTGGAATAAAGGAACAAGAGAGAGTGAGAGAGAAAAAAAAAGAAAGAGAGAAAGAGAGACAACGAACACGATCGATTAACGACTACATTATTGACTATTGATTGTCAAAAGAAACTATACATATAACTGATACAATGTATCAACTTCCTCATTATTCTGATGCACTTAAACAATTTCCATCGGCTGCACTCTCAGCTTATTTTGCTGGAACTACAAATAATGGAAATAGTATTGTTCCTAATACTGCTCATCATCCTTTAGCAGCAGCTGCTGCTGCCGCTGCTGCGGCTGCTGTTGTTTCACATACAAATCCATTTTCCATTGATAATATTCTTGCTTCACGTCCACGTTTATCTGTACCTTTATCATCCTACTATGGTTCAACAGCAACAAATACAGCTCAAGCTGCAGCTGATTTCTATTGTAAGTATATATTTTTAATGAATAAAAAACAAAAAGAGGTATTAAAGCGAAAAGTTTATCATTTTTTGTTTTTCGTATATTTGCTTATGATAAATGTGTTTAATTGTTGGTGTATGATAAATGATTTATTCTAACTAGATATTGTTTCCGATTCGTCACCTATTTTTGAAATAATGTCAAAATAGTTTATAATTATATTTGATAGGACAAAAAAAAAAAAGAGTTCAAAGAGAAATAAAAGATGATTGTTCATGTAAACATAGAACGATTTTCCGCTGTCGGGCACACACATAGTAGGAAACTTATGGATTTGCTTATTTGATAAAAGTCAATTATAGAAAATAGTTTTTATTTAATCTTAGTACGGGAGAAAGAACATTTTTATAATAATTAAAATAAATAAATCATTTTGTTTTTTTCTATCTTATCTCTAGCATTACAAAATTTCTTTGCTGTGGCTTCTATGGCACAAAATCATAAACGAAAGAGAAGACATCGAACTATTTTTTCAGAAGAACAACTTGAACAATTGGAAGAAGCTTTTGGTCGTACACATTATCCAGATGTTATGATGAGAGAAGGTAGACAAAAAAAAACAACAAATATATTTTTCATTGACATATTATTTAAAACAATTATATTTTATAGATTTGGCTATGAAAATTGATCTCAAAGAAGAACGTGTTGAAGTAAGTGTTGCAATTGAAGAAAAAAGAAATTTCTTTCTTCTCTTCTTTTCATAAATTCCACATTTTTTTTTTCTGAGAAGAAAACTTGTTAAAATTGATGTTCTTTTTCTTTTAATCCTGTAAAGGCCATATACAATTCTTTAAAAAAAAAACATCATATTTTTATCATCATTATTTCTTTTATTAATGACTTAAAGTTAGTTTTAGTTTGCTTTTCTTATTTATTTTATCGATGATTTTGATTGTTATTTTAACAGTTTAATGATCGAGTGAAAATTGTTTGATCAACACTTATAGACGCGCGGCATTAAGATTTTTTCGTATTAAGTAACATATAATGAAAAAAAAATATTCTTATTGTTTACACGATAAATATATTAAAAAAAAAGAATGTATCGAATATATATTTTAGTCTAAGTATATAATAAAACTTGAAAAAAAAAGTGACTTTGCCCATTAGGTTTATTTAATAGTTGTTACTGTTTTGTTTTTTTGGTTAGATATAGAAGGCCGTGAGAAGCTTTTATCGTTATGCTTGTTTAATGGAAGGAAAGAAGGTACTTGCTCACAATGTCGAGTGATTTCAAAATCGCATTCATTTTCTTTTTTTCTTGTTTAAAAAAAAGAAGAAGTTGATTTCTTATATTACCCTTTGGGTGGTTAAGAGCATTCGATTGATTGGTGTTGTTGACATGACGACTTTTCTAGTAGATATATTGCTTCGTGTGTCTTTTATATGAACTGTTTTCATTGACAGAAGCAATCGAATGATTTATAGTTTATCGTTTGCCAATTATCCGCTGATTGCTGGTTAAATAAACTTGACTGAACCCAAGTAAAAGAAAGATCAGCTTCTCGCATTTGAAAGTGATCGAATTGAAGAAAAAAGACAAAAAAGAAATATATATATATATACATATATATATATAAGTGCTGAAGCCGGGATGATCTAAAGACAAATCCAGTCTTTACTATACTCTCATTTCATGTTCTTACTCTTATGTCAAGAGATTTTTTTCCATTTCCTTTTAACGCCCGCCTACTCTTTATGTTCCATCATATCCGATTGCTCTTTTCTTTATTATTCACATTGATCTATATTGAACTATATTAATAACAACAATCATTTTGTTGTTTTTTCTACTACTAATGTTCAACGATGTGTTTTTCTTTCTGTTTCGTCTATTGCTACTAATAGGCTAATAATTCATAACATATTCTTGTCAATATCGGTTAGATTGTCGATGTATATATATATATATATCATTTGTCTCCTTCCCGGAATGAAGTTGATATACTATGTATAAATTGACTTGATTAATTTTTATGCATGATCACACATGAAAGAGAAAAAGAAAAATGTATAGTGGACGAAAGATATAATGACCAATGAATGTACGAATTTTTGATAGGTTGCACCTGCATGATGAGAGTTAACCAACCGTAACATTGTTCTTTCTTCTGTTTTTTTCTTTTTATTTGATCATCGATTAGAAATATAAATGATTGTTTAATATTTAAGGTTTGGTTTAAAAATCGTCGAGCAAAATATCGAAAACAAAAACGAGAAGCAACTGAACGATGTAATATTATTCTTTATTTTCTTATTCTTATGAATTTATTATAAGATTTATTTTAGGTCGTCGTGAAGCACTTGATAAATCACAACGAACTGATGGTGAAAGTATTACGACTGGTTCATCAACACCAAGTGCAAATTCCAGTTCATCATTAAGTAGTATTAGTCAAGAAACATCAACTAATGTTGATCATTCACTTTCAACATCACATCATTTAGTTGTATGTCCAACAATACCAAGTAATAATAGCGATAGTTCAAGATCAGATATATCAATAGGTATTCAATCAACACATTCACCAAATTATAGTCAACAACCATTAGCTTTAACAACAAATGGAAGATTAAATAATCATAATTCTGTAACAATTAATAATAATTATCGTAAAGAAACTTTTCCAATAAATCATATAAGACAACATGTAATTTCAGGAACAACAGCAACAACAACAACAGCAAATAATATTAATAATAACACTGCACCATATCTTAAACTATAGAAATCATTCTGTTTTTTTTTCTTTCTTTTTTTTTTTGTGTTATTGTTGTGTGTATGTGTGTATAGTATCTCTACTGCCGCGCGATTCTTTATTTTCTAGTTATTTTTTGTCCTTGAACAGTGTCATCCTTATTCTTGTTGTCAATAAAAGAGAAGAAAAAAAAAATTATATATAATCAAATGAAAAATAGATATAGAAAACAAACTTTAACGACACGATTGCTATCCTATGAAGATTGATAATATCTATTTATTAATTTGAAATCTGATTTGAAAAAAAAATAGCAATATTAATATATTTATTGGAACATCATTCATTTTTTTTTTCGATTAAAACTGATTTATCTACTGGAAAATATTTTCTTCAATGTGGAAATTTAGATTAAAGAAAGGTGTGAGAGTAATAATAATAGATGATGTGAAAATATTTTTCAGTTTCTAGTTAATGAAAGAAAAAGAAGATTGGTT